CTGCTGCAGCTGCTCCGCCCGGTGGCGCTGCGCACGCCCCTCGTCCCTGTAGGCGCCCAGCTCGCTCTCAAGACGCCTGCCGTTCGACAACGGAAGCACAGGCAGCCCTTCTCCTCCGTTTTCGCTCCCGCTCCTCCTCCTCCTCCTCCTCCTCCTCCTCCTCCTCCTCCTCCTCCTCCTCCTCCTCCCCTCCTCCTCCTCCTGCGCCTCCTCCACCGCCTTCTCCTCCTCCTCCTGCTCCTCCTCCTTCTCCTGCTCCCCGTTCCTCCATATGTCTCGGTCTCCTCCTCCCCCTCCTTAGCATTTTCCTCCTCCTTCTCATCCTCCGCCCCGTCCCCATCCTCCTCATACTCCTCCTCCTACTCTGCCTCCTCCTACTGATCCTCCATATTGTTCGTTCGCCTTCTCATCCTCCTCTTCCTCCTCCTCCTCCTCCTCCTCCTCCTCCTCTCTCCTCCTCCTCCTCCTCTCCTCCTTCCTCCTCCTCCTCCTCCTCCTCCTCCTCCCTCCTCCTCCTCCTCCTCCTCCTCCATCATCATCATCATCATCATCATCATCATCATCATCATCATCATCATCATCATCATCATCATCATCATCATCATCATCATCATCATCATCATCATCATCATCATCATCATCATCATCATCATCATCATCATCATCATCATCATCATCAGTCATCATCATCTCATCATCATCATCATCATCATCATCATCATCATCATCATCATCATCATCATCATCATCATCATCATCATCATCATCATCATCCTTATCTTCTATAAGTTCCGTTATCCTCCTCATCGTCCTCACCATATTCCTCCTCCTCCGCCTCCTCCTTTTCCTCCTCCGCCTCCACCTCCTCCTCATCCTCCTGCTCATCATCCTACTTTCCCTCCGCCTCCTCCTCCTGCTTCTCCATATCGCTCGTTCGTTTCCTCATCATCCTCTTCCCCATCCTCCTCCTCCTCCTCCTCCTCCTCCTCCTCCTCCTCCTCCTCGTCAACATCATCATCGTCATCATCATCACCACCATCATCATCATTATCATCATCATCAAAACCATCATCATCATCAGCAGCAGCATCATCATCAGCATCACCATCATCAGTATCATCATCATCATCCTCGTCATCATCATCGTCATCATCAGCATCATCATCATCAGCATCAGCATCAGCATCAACATCAGCATCATCATCAGCAGCACCATCATCATCATCATCATCATCATCATCATCATCATCATCGTCATGGGCAGCATCATCATCCTCCTCATCCTCCTCCTCATTCTCTTACTCCGACTCCGTCTCCGACTCCGACTCCGACTCCGACACCGACTCCGGCTCCGACTCCGGCTCCGACTCCTTAAGTTCCTCCTCCTCCTCCTCCTCCTCCTCCTGCTCCTCCTCCTCATCATCCTCCTCCTCCTCGACTCCTCCTCCTCCTCATCCTCCTCCTCCTCATCCTGCTCTTCCTCCTCCTCCTCCTGCTCCTCCCCCTCCTCCTCCTCCTCCTCCTCCTCCTCCTCCTCCTCCTCCTCCTCCTCTCCTCCTCCTCCTCACCCTCCTCCTGCTCCTCCCCCTCCTCCTCCTCATCCTCCTCCTCCTCATCATCATCATCCTCCTCCTCATCCTCCTCCTCCTCCTCCTCCTCCTTCTCCTCCTCCTCCTCCTCCTCCTGAACTGAACTGAACTGAACTGAACCCACATCGGAGGCGAACAAAACCAGTCGCTCGAATCGCCCACTGGAAAAATCTGAAACAGAAATCCTCGAGCGGACGTCCTGAGCGCCCCACCAAAATCGTTATAAACCTCTGTGACATCAGGCGACGGGGTCGACGCGCGCCCGCGGGGGGCCTGGCGGCGCCCCGCTCCGACTGCGCGGCGACGAGGTCCGATACAGCCAGGGGGGCCGCTCGCAGGCGCTGCTGACTCTACCTATGGGCGCTCCCCCCCATCATGAGACCAACTGCCATTGTGGGCGATCCCACCGTAGTGGGTTCTCCCACGCAGGCTTTGTCACGAGGTGGGGGAGCGCTCAGCGGCCGCCTGGAGCTCCCCCTGGGAGCGACTCAGACGGCTTCCCCTCTCTCGGAGGACCTTGAGAATGTTTTTTGCACGCTCACTCTCGGTGGCGCGACACATCGCAGTCACCTGCGCGATCTGCGCGCGCAGCTCCCTCAGCTCCTCCTCTGCATCTCGTGCAGGTCCTTCTAGAGGTCGTGCTCCAGCCGCGAGCGCGGGGGCTGCCCCTGGGACGTGATGGCCTGCTCGTGGCCGAAGATGCGCAGCATGGCCGTGCGGACGCCCCTGGTCACGATCGGGCACAGCTCCACGTCGCCCACGCACCGTGGGCCGTCGTCCTCCGTCTCCTGCATCTCCTGCTTGGTGCGCCCCACTCCGCGCGCCTTCAGCCACTTCAGGTCTCAGAGCGGGAGCATCGTGAGCAGGTTGATCGCCATCGCCAGCATGCTGCAGGCCGTCGTCGCCTCGCTCTCGTCGAAGCCGGCCCGCCTCAGTCGGAATGCCCTGAAGAGCTCCCCCGCCAGGCACGGCAGCTCCTCCAAGGCGTCGTTGAGCAGCTGCATCACGCACTGAGCGAGTCGCACCTGCTGCCCGTTGCCTAGGTCGACCTTTGCCAAGCTGTTGACCACGGCCTTCGCCACCTGGATGCGCGGGCTGCCGAGCCCCTTCGGCGAGTACGCCTTGGACTCCACCGCGTCGTTGTACTCCTCGCCGCCGGCCCCCGCTGCCTCGACCGTCTCGCTGTCGACGGGGATGAGGCGGAAGTCGCACAGCGCGCCCTCGAGCCCGCGCTGCCCTTGCATCGCGTTCGGAACCCCCTTCTGCAGCCGCTCCATCATCCCGTTGGGCGCCCCGCTGAAGTTGTCGTCTGCAGGCCCAGCTCCACCATCGCCTTCTCGTTTATTCTTATTATTATTATTGGGCTTTCTCTTCGGCTCTGGTGCTGACCCCTGGCCCCCCTTGTCGAACTCCGCATTGTCCTGCTGGGTGCTGCTGGCGGCTGCTGGCGCCGACCGTGCCGCCTTGTTGTCGGGAGCCGCTGCCTCGCTCACCGCCTCCATGGTCTGGGCCCTGGCCCTCCTGCTCGCGATGGTGCCATCCTGCCTGCCGCCATTCAGGAAGACGATCGGCGCGGGTCCTCCTCCTGCACCTTTGCCAGCTGCTGTCGCCATCGCTGCTAGCAACGCCAAAGGAAAGGCCAGTGGGCCCCTCATGGTGACAACGAATATGGACTTGAAGTTCGAGCAAATGGACGAAGGACAGGTCGCACGCTGGGCACGTCAGACTCGCCGGCTCGATCGGCTCGTGGTGCCACGGGGAGCGATCGACCATGCACATTCTCCTCCTCCTCGTCGCCCCGCTCGATACCCATCCTCCTGCCACTCTCGAAACATGCTGCATCGCCCCCTCCTTCGACGGAAAACAGCTGAGACACCACGGACACTGATTCGTCACGTCCAATCTACGCAACTCGCGTTGAAACCCGCGAACGACGCGACGATGAGTTTGCAGCGCAGCAAAGGAGGAGAAGGACTTTTCGCACATCGACCCGTCGATTGCTTCGTTGCAACAGTACGCCTCGGGTGGCTGCTCCAGTACTTCCTGGGCTGCCGCACCCAGGGTCGCGCCCTCCCCGCCCCAGTAGTCGGTCGGAGGAACCTGCGCGGCAAAGGCCGCCGTGCGCAGGACCCTCAGGTCCAGCTCCACGAACTGATCGCGGACCTCGCCCTCGAAAAACAGGTCCAGCATGCCGCCAGGGGCCTCCTGCAAATTATCCCACATGTCGCGGCAGTCGCCGCTGACGCGCCCCATCTCGGTCAGGCCCGCCTCCAGCTGTAGACGCCGCGGAGTGGGCGCAGGCACCGACCATCCGTCTGCTCCAACCCTGGTAATGCCCATCTCCTCCTCAAACCTGCACTGGCCGAACACCGCCGCGATCGCCTGGTGGTGCGCCTCTGGGAACCTCGCCATCCGCCGGAATAGTCGCAGCCGGTGCACCCGTAGTTCCAGCTCGGGCTTCGCCAACTTCCAGTATTCCAGTACTGCCACACCTGCTCGTTCGTCAGTGTCCTGGCGCTGCCGTCCTCCTTCCATTTGGTGTGTCGGCCTCCCAGCAGCGATCGCAGCAGCTTCGTCAGCACCTTGGTCAGTCGTCCAATCTGGCTGGGAGTGAGCAGCAGCACGTGAAGCGCGGACAGCGCCGCCTCGTACACGTAGCTAATGAACTGTAGTCTGGCGCATCGCAGCGGGGCCTCGCGGTACCAAGTGGAGCCCATGTTGTACCAGCCTCTCGTAGCAGCACGCATCCTGGCCTTTACCTCGTCGTGCACCGCCAGGTCGGCCGCCACGACGGGTCCAAGTAGCCTTGCACTCCTGGCCGCGGTCCCCTTCAGCGCCTTTGAGTTTCCCACCTTCCTCGTCGCTGTCGTTGCTCCTAGCCCTCTTAGCCCCAGCGTGCTCACCGTCTCGTCCTCGTCGAGTCCTCCTCCCTGGGCGCTGATCTCCTTATTGATGGTGGCCGTAGCGCGGTTGAGGCGCAGGACGATGTCGTTGCCCGTGGCGGAGTTGGGGATGGGAGTGATCCTGGTGGCGTCGTCCACGAACGCCGCCGCGCCTATGTCGTACACCGTGTCTCCCCCGCCTGGGACCGTCGTCTCCAGCCACCTGTAGCTCTCTTCCTCCTCCTTCAGGTTCTCGAACGCGTCGCCCACGGCTGCGGAGTACGCCGCGACGAACCCCCACGGGATCAGGCTGCCCCCCATAGCTCTTCCCTCCTCTGGCGTGAACTCCACCGCGCCGTCCGGCGTCGTCACCGTGACGCACAAGTCGCTGAGCAGCTGGGCAAAGTACGGCTTGTCGTTAGCCTGCAGCCTGGAGCCCGCGCGAACGTTCCAGTGCTCCCACTTGATCGCGTGGAAAGCGCCTGCCGCATCCCAGTTCTGTTGCACCACCGAAATGTTGGCGCCGCGCAGCCTCCAGCAAGCCGACTGGAGAGAGAGCAGCGCTGCCTCTCGGCCGCGGTGCGGCAGGCCGCCATGCGCCCACTCGGGCCATTCGCCAGGTAGTTGTCGTCGTCGTATGCCGCTGTGCCAGGCCTGGGCGAGGTGGTCGTAGAGATGAATCACCCGCTGGCCCTTCAAGTCAGCTCTGCCCTTGTTCTTGTCCAGTCCGGTGGCTCACGTCCTCTTCCCTGACGGCGCGAAAGCCCTCTTGACTCTCGTGCCCATCAGTCGGTCCCACAAGCAGTAGTCGAAGTTGTCTACCGTGATCGGCTCGGAGTCCACGAACCCTAGGCCCATGCCCATACTGTCAATCCTCTCCATCTGCGCAGAGCAGATCGCCATCATCTCGGCGCACGCGCCCCACTCTGGAAAAGTCTTTCTTCTTGGCGCTCTTCGGCAGTACTTCTGAATGGACTCCAGGTCGTGGCGAACCTCGTCATGAAGGCTGTTGTCGTGTACTGGGTCCCTCCACATTCCCAATGCTCGTAATGTCTCTCCCCTCTCATTTGCCTTGTCCATGTGAGCGCCCCAGCTGGTCTCTCTCGCTCTCATGCCTCCCGCGACCCCCGACTTGGCCATGCCCTCCTTCCACTCGGCGGCGCCCTGCGCGCAGTTCGCCGCCATGCACGCACGCTCGCGGATGCCCTCCCCCCTGCCAGCAAGTCGCCCTCTAAGCGCATATACTCGAGAAAAGTCTCGTACCCTCCAGGCCTCCTTCAGCTCCACAATCCGATCCTGGAAGACCATTCTCTGGTGCTCCTTGCGTCGGGCCTTGCATTCTCCTGTAAGTCGTCGCAATCGAGCTTCGGTGACCAACAACTCTCACACGGGGGTCGGCGCCCCCGCTTGATACTCAGTAGTCCCAGGCCCCCTCTCACGAAATTGAAGTCCGCGTGGTGCGCTGCACCGACCCTCCAGCGATTCCCGCGACCCCGAGTCGCCAGGTGGAGTGCCGCACAGAGACTCCAGCTCCGCGCGGGTCCAAGCAGGGCGCTGCGAGGGGCCACGGGTATCCGCTATCTCTGGGACGGGAGTGCGGCACCTGTCGACGCGGTAAGTGAAGCTCTGCTGGTCCGACTGCTGGACGCGGCGCCTGTGCAGCTCTTCGGGGTCCTGTGCGACCTTGGCCCTGCGCTCGAGCTCCGCCACGCGCTGCTCCGACAGCTCGCGGTACTGGTCGCCACGCCGCTGGCTCGCGGGGAAGACCGCCCCCGCCGCCTCCCGCAGCGCCGCCGTGAATATATGGTGCTTTGTCTCTGGCGTGGGGTCGTTGTCTGCCTCGTCCCATCCCGCAGCGTCGGCCTGCAAGTTCGCCTCCACTGCGTGACAGAACTCTCGTCGCAGTACTCCGCGAGACAGACAGCGCTTCATCATGTCCCTATCCAGCCTCTGTGCGCCCCCTTGCCTCTGCGCGTAGCCCAACTGGTACTGCAGGTGGATCTCCATGGGACAGTGATCCCGCAGCTCGGCAGTAGGGAACGGCGCCACCGTCCTCACCAGGCCAGGTCGCATCCTGATCATCGGCACGAACCTCATCGCCGTAGTGGGAACGAAGACGCGGTCGATCCAGCTGTTGCGATGCTCTCCGTGGTAACTCGCTGGCAATCGAAAATGTGTGCTCGCTGCTGTCATGTAGTTCGTCTCGGCCCATCCTCGCAGCCAGGGTACCAGCCTAGAGCGTCTATGTTGTCCATGCCTGCCAGCGACCTCGCCCTGGTGCTCGAACCCTAGCTGTTCGTTGAAATCGCCAGCCACAACCACCAGATATCGACTGCCCACCTGGGCCATCACGTCCGTGACCCAGCCCAGGATGCGCTGCCTGGCCTCGGCCCTCTCCTGGTGAGAGCCCGACGGCGTGAGGTATACCCCGAAGAGGAGGATGGGGGAGGTCGCCGTCGCAACCTTTATGCCTCCGACTCGTCCAGTGATGCCGAGCTTGGGCGGTGGGCTGTAGATCTGGCGGATGCAAGCTCGGCGTACCTTTCGGCCCAGGAGCCTCGTGATCCCGCAGCTCTTGTTTGTGAATATTCCTCTGCTCCAGCCCCAACTGACCGCGAGATGTTTGCTAGTGCGGATCGCAGTCACGGGCACGTCAGGGTCACGCTGGCGCTGCTGAGTCCCTGGCAGCACTGCAATGTCGAAGTTGCGCATGGCCTGCCTCACGAGCTCCTCGCGCCAGGGCGGCAGGCTCTGCGGGTTGTACATTCCGAGCGTGAGCATGGTCTGCAAAGCCGCCGCCACACATCGCGCAGCGAGCGTTCTCATGGCCGCGGGCGGCGCCCGCCGCGGCCTCCTCTCAGGGCCTGAGACAGGGCAGCGCCCCCCATCCCGCGGCGGCGGGCACCCCGAGCCCCGACGAAGCTTCAGCCACTTGTGGGCCGTCGTGATCGCCTGAATCCCCCTGATTCGAGAGGAAGTGGCGACTCTCCTCATCCTCCTCCTCCTTCTCCTGCTCCTCCTCCTCTTCCTCCTCCTCCTCATCATCCTCCTCCTCCTCCTCATCATCATCAGCATCATCAGCAGCAGCATCATCATCATCAGCATCATCATCATCATCAGCAGCAGCATCATCATCATCAGCATCATCATCATCAGCATCATCATCATCATCATCCTCATCATCAGCAGCAGCAACATCAGCATCATCATCATCATCATAATCAGCATCAGCATCATCATCAGAATCATCATCATCATCATCATCATCATCATCATCATCATCAGCAGCATCGTCATCATCATCAGCATCATCATCATCGTCGTCGTCGTCGTCGTCATCGTCATCATCAGCATGACCAACATCAGCATCAGCATCAGCATCATGATTATCAGCAGCATCCTCATCATCATCACCACCATCAGCATCAGCAGCATCAGCTTCATCATAATCAGCAGCAGAAGAAGCATCAACATCACCATCATCATCATCATCATCAGCAGCATCAGCATCAGCATCAGCATCAACATCAGCATCGTCATCATCATCAGCGTCATCATAATCATCATCATCAGCATCGGCGTCGACATCATCACCATAATCAGCATCATCAGCAGCATTTCCATCATCATCATCATCAGCATCGTCATCAGCATCATCATCATCAGCATCAGAGTCAGCATCAGCATCACCATCATCAACAGCATAAGCACCAGCATCAGCATCGGCATCATCAGCCTAATCAGCCTAATCATCACCATCATCAACAGCAGCCGCATCAGCATCATCATCGTCTTCGTCATACTCCTCTGCCTCCTCCTCATCGTTCTCCTCCCCATTCGTATACACCTCCTCCTCCTCGTCATACTCCTCTTCCTCCTCAACATCAGCATCGTCGCCGTCATCCTCATCATCATCATCATCAGCATCAGCATCAGCAGCAGCATCATCAGCATCGTCAGCATCAGCAGCATCATCATCACCAATCATCATCAACAGCATTATCAGCATTAGCATCATCATCATACGCCGTCTCCTCTTCCTCCTCCTCCTCATCATCCTCCTCCTCCTCCTCCTCCTCCTCCTCCTCTTCCTCCTCCCCCTCACCCTCACTCTCCTCATCCTCCTCCTCATCCTCCTCATCCTCCACCTCATCCCTGCTCCTCCTCCTCCTCCTCATCCTCCTCCTCCTCCGCCCCCATCCTACTGCCCCCCATGCTCATCGTGCTCCTCATGCTTCTTATCCTGCTGCTCCTACTCATTATCCTTCTCCTCCTAATCATCCTTCTCCTCCTAGTCATCCGCCTCCCCCTCCTCCCCCACATCCGCCTCCTTCTCCTCCTCCTCCTCTTCCTCATCCTCCTCCTCTTCATCCTCCTCATCCGTGTCATCCTCTTCATCATCATCAGCATCATCATCAGCATCATCAGCAGCATCATCATCAGCATCAGCATCATCATCAGCATCATCATCGTCATCAGCAGCATCAGCAGCAGCAGCATCATCATCAGCATCGGTATCATCAGCATCATCATCATCAGCAGCAGCAGCATCGTCAGTATCGTCATCGTCAGCAGCAGCAGCATCATCAGCATCATCAGCATCAGCATCCGCAGCGGCATCCGCATCAGCATCAGCATCAGCATCAGCAGCAGCATCGTTAACAGCAGCATCGTCCTCATCAGTAGCAGCAGCATCGACATCATCGTCATCAGAATGATCAGCAGCATCATCGTCATCATAAGAATCATCACCAGCATAAGCATCAACGGCAGTAGCAGCAGCATCATCAGCAACATCGTGATAGTCAGCAGCATCATCATCCGCATCAGTTTCATCATCATAATCCGTCTTCGCATCATCGTGAGCAGCATAATCAACATCAGCAACAGCATCCTCAACAGCCTCAACATCGTCATCAGAATCAGCATAAGCAGTCGCATCGGCATCAGCATCATCATCAGCAGCATCCTCATCAGCATCAGCATCATCATCATCATCATCATCATCAGCATCGTCGTCATCAACCTTACTAGCATCACCATCACCATCATCAGCATCATCATCATCATCATCATCATCATCATCATCATCAGCATCAGCAGCAGCATCATCAGCGGCAGCAGCATCGTCATCACCAACAAAGTCAGAATAAGCATCACCAGCATACTCATATGCCCCTTCAGCATCCTCATCATCATCAGCAGCAGCATCATCAGCATCAGCATCAGCATCAGCATCAATAACTGCACCATCTTCATCATCATCCGCAGCCTCGTCGGCATCATCATCACCATCAGCATCAGCACCAGCCTCATCGTCATCAGCATCATCATCATCATAGTCAACATCAGCATCGTCATCAGCAGCAACAGCAGCAACGCGTCATCGTCGTCATCATCAGCAACAACAGCATCAGCATTGTCAACATCATCAGCCTCATAATCAGCGTCATCACCATCAGCATCAGCATCCGTGTCATCAACATCAGCAGCAGCATCAGCATCAGCATCGTCATCATCATACTCCTC